CGGCCATATTGACACGTGCAACGCGCGACGCAAGTCTAACTGGACTGGAGCGAAAATGGCGTTGGGTGGCTCACGGCGGCCGTTCGCTAGTCAAAGATCATGCGTGGAATTCACAGGTAAGGGAACTGATACACCATCCAAATTTTCACGTAAAAACAATGAAGCTACGGATACTCAAAATAATTCTTCTATTAGATTTATGAATTCAACTTCTTGGTGTTTCTTGCTTTTATTAAAAATATTGAGAAACAAAGTTTTTTTGCTTTTCATGCGTAAGTTAAATGATAATATTTAAGACTAGAAATCACAAAGAAATACATCATAATATCGGTCAATTTTAGCGTCAATTTTCTTATTAAAAAAAAAAAACAAGTAAATAATCTCGCGTAAACCATCTATGAGAACTGTGCAGGGCTACCGGTGCGCGGGAAAACCGGTTATAGACCGAGTATAGATCCAGTAAAATTGAAAAATCAATAAAACTACAAAATATTACGTTACCGAAGCGGTGAATATATTAAAACTATTTCGTTATTAAGTGATGTAACTAGTTACAATATGCATTTTATAACTGTGTCAAATATAACTGTATCAAAAAAAAGTTATTAGCAGTTTTACAAAAATATTCTATGCACGAAATGTGCCTTTTGAGTCAATAGACAGAAATAGAACATACAGCCACACTCAGACGTTTAATGATTGATCTGAGTTTTAGATTTCGGTAACGAAAAACGATAAAACTCTGTCTTATTTATCTAATTTCGCATTACAATGTTTTCACAAAACTAACAAACTATTATAACGCTATTTGGTGAGTGAAAACTCCATAGTAATTACAACTTGGTTACATAGAAATTAACGCGAACTGTTATCCAGTTATGATCTTAGCGGTTAAACTGTTATCAAGGAGATAGAAAGAGAGAGTTGTGATATGACTATAATTAGTAATTTCTACAGCAACTGTGTAACGTTTTAAATACGGTTATTTATATTCTGTTAGTCAAACAAGTAACTAGACGTAGTCAATAAAAAATCAGCACTTCTGCAGAATTACGCTGAGTTAGGGACCTGTTTGTTGCCGCAGTGCCTATTGTAATTTACTAAATGTTACATCCTTTGTCTAATGTACGCTACCGCCACTTTGGTCACTTTTATATTCCGAATCGGTTTATCTATACTATTATAATAAAGCGTACACACACTTCTTTGTTGCCTAAGGTCTCAGCAATTACAGCATATTTTTGAATAATTCTTTTTTTAATAAAAAGCCCTACACTTACGTCATACTTTAGGCTATTTTTTTCACGCCATTAAACTTAGGGCGAAAAATTTTTGGTTAAAACCCCTAATGTGGGAAAGACACCATAAGTTGCAGCAAACATCAAGAAAGAAAGTTTGCTAAGGGTTATCATGTCATATCGTGTCATTTTGACATTTGCTATTGATAATTTGACAAATGTAAACAATAAAATAAAATTTTCATAATTTCATGCGGATGAAGTCGCACCGGTACAGCTAGTAGTGACTAAAACAAGTCTGTCAGTATAATAGAGTGGACCTGAAACTAAACTATCGTACAACTGTTCAGTCTCGCTTTGATACTTATGAGTTTATATGGAGGTGCGCACACTACTCGATTTTTAGTTGTGCAACTAGATAGTTTTATTAAGTGCGAAACAATTGACGATCGCATAATCTTTGTGCGATTGTTTAGTCAAATTGTGCGCCTGCCCTAAATATAAGTTAAATTTACACTTACGGACTGATTCGGTAAAATTGGAAATGTAAAAAACTAGTAATGCGCCCTGCTTTGCCTTGTTCACAAAGAATATATATTTTCTGTCGCATTCTTCCCCTTTTCGTTGATATAAAACACTAGCTGTTGCTCGTGACTTCGCCTGCGTGAAATTAAAAAAATGTAGCCTATGTTACTCAGTGATAACGTAGCTTTTTAATGGTGAAAGAATTTTTAAAATCGGCCCAGTAGTTTTTGAGTTGATTCAATACATACAAAAATACAAATCTTTCCTCTTTATAATATTAGTATAGATACCTTATGTTACTCAATAATGAAAGAAATCGACCCAGTAGTTTTTGAGTTATTTCAATACATGAGATATAAAATATCCAGAATTCAGAAAACATTTCCTAGTATGTCAGGACACACGACACCTCTGGGAACATATGTTGGCAACAAATCTCTTCACGCGTTACGAGCATATTTATTATTAAAAAGCTTCGCCCACGCACTGGATTAGATGCACGTAAATCTCAGAGCAAGGAAGGACATAAACAAACAAACATAAAAAAGGGAAAAATTATAACTCCATACGAGATAATTTATCAAAGAAACGGAAGAACATTCTACCCATCATCCCTAAAATAGTCTAATTCTAACTTAGATCAAATTTTTCGATACATTATGTTAGTTTTTATTATAAATGTGATTATGCCATAACTCCAAGACTACCAGATAAATTGATTCATATTGTAGTGTGTAGACAAAATCTAGACAGACAATAAATTCATTTGGCCTTCTCCCTAAATAAGAGCCAATTCTGGGTCTATAACTCACAAGCAAAATATGTTAGGAAAAACAACTTACGTAAGCATAAAAGATTGATTATCTTAACACAAAGAGGTAAAATATGAGTCTACGTAAAAAATAGATTTAATTTTCATTGAAAACGGAATTGTTAAAAAACAAAATAATATTTCTTTATCTTTGTATTGTAGCTTGTAGGTTTATTAATTGCTTTTAAGATACTAATGTTTATATCGATTAGTTAACTAAAAGGCATATATTTCTAAAAATAAAAAAAATAATCCATGATCCCTGTCTATCACAGAGTCACGGACAAAGATATATTTTTTTAATTAATAATATCAATTGAGGTCACGACAACTGAGGCCAAGTAATTGTGTGTGTTCAAATTAGTTTAAGAATAGGAAGATTGGCACATAAATATACATACCATCATCGGTGTTAGTAAATTATAGTAGAACCTCGATAACTCAAACCTCGGTAACTTAAACTTGTGTTGGATTTTAACTTATCGAGGTTCGACTGTATTTATATTTTATACGACAAACATACGCTCGTACGGCACATTCTAGTAGTCCGTAATTAAGATTTTAAACAAATTAATAAAACGTGGACTTTCGATTCAAGCAAAACGGTAAACTACAAGCCATTTGGGGTACCGTTCGTTTGTCTTTTCTCCTCAAAAAAAAAATACTCGATAAAATCTACTATATAATGTGTAAATCGAAAAGGTAATTTTGTTACTCGGATTATTCCATAAAAGTTTGTTAAAATCGTTTAATTAGTGAAAATTAAAATTTATCGATATTCTTAACATTGATATTGGAATTGATCGATTATAAAACAATCGGAACGGATAACGTTCACTTTTATTATCAAAGTGCACGCTAATTGATTGGGACCTTGACACATATTGTTACTTACATATATGAAAACTATAACCTATGATTTTAAATTCCTTTGTTTTTAATTTTAAGTAGTTAGATAGACCCAAAACTTATATGATCTGAAAGGTTATTTTTTCGCTACGCAATTAATAGCGGATTGTGGGGTTTTGTCTAAGAAATGGCTGAATTAATTATTACCTTAACCTATATCCAATTTGAGTCAGTGTTGCTATAATTTTCTATAGGCGCGGGAGCGCAAGTGGAAATAATATCGTTTCTATTCATAAGACGACGCTAAGTGGAAATTGAGTTTATTATAGCTGGTGTAGATTAACTAAGAAAAATATGTACTGTTTGTTTATGGTAAATAAAAGAAGTATAAAATCAAAATTTTATTTTAAATTTTAATTGTACAGTATAATGAAATAAAATATTTTTTACACTAGCTTGTATGTACAATAAATACTATTTACAAAATGTTAATTTGATATTATTTATAACTAAAATTAAGTTAACAAGTGTAATAGAAAATGTTTATTGACATATAATATTTTTTTCTAATAAATCTTCCATTGGTGATGTTTCAACTTCAATAATTTTAGGACTGTAAGGATCTAATGCGGGCACTTCATCTTTGACAATTAATGCTTGCTTTTTATTTAATTTAATTAAATGTTTATGTTTTATACCAACATGTTTCCTCACCGAACGGCTACTGTGAAAACCATGATTACAATAAGGACAAAAATATTTCTTCTCTTCATAATGTATTCTTTCATGCAACACAAGCTTTTGTTTATTCGAGAAAAACATACCACAAGTAATGCATGGTACATTGTCATCCGTATGCCTATTTTTGTGTCTCTTCATACTGTCAGCTCTGTTTGATCTGAACTCACATAAATTGCATTTAAGAGCTGGTTTATCTTTATTATGGTTGCGTCTGTGGTTGGATAATTCGGCAGAAGTGTAAAACGCTAATGCACACACTTCACAAGTGTAAGTCTTTGAGCCATGCCGCTGCATATGTTGTTTTTGACTTAACCTACTCAGTGATATATTGCAGATCGGACAGTGAACTTTATCATGACCTCGTATGTGACGATACACTTGAGATCTCCCTCTAACACACTTTCCACAAATTTGACATGTTATTTCAACTTTGTATTTCTTATGCACTATTTCCTTGTGATTCTGTACAGTGGTTAGTTGAGTGAATGTTTTCGAACAAATGTCACATTTATATGGTCTTTCTCCACTGTGGATGACAACATGACTTTGTATATCTTTATTTCTTTTAGTTTTATATGGACATTGTTTACAATGGAATGTCCGAGATCTACCAATACCGGTAATATCAATCATTCCACTCGCTAAAGACGTGCAACTTCGCTTTTTTGTTTTTATATGAGTGTGGTACGCTTTGTAAGATTTGAATGTCCTTTTGCATACAGAGCATATTAAAGAATTTAACATATGGGTTTTCTTCCAATGCACTCCCAATTTGCATTTACTTTTGAAAAAAGAGCCACAGTCGTGGCATTGGACTGTACATTCTGTAGATGGTTTCTTGTCCTCTGATATGGGCAGAAAAGATTCACTTTTTATTGACTCGTCTTCTAGATACTGTGTGGATGTGTCGTCGTTCGCGTCATTGGACTCTTCAGAATTCTCATCGAGTTCTTTCTTAACTACAATTTCTGGATACGTCTCACCCTTCAATATTGTGTCTAAATCCGTATTTTTCAAGATACTATTCGCATTTTCACATTTCTCTTTGAAATTAATGGCCGTCTCTAATTCATCGTAACATGTTAAACATATCGTATCAGGTAAACCGTCGTTTAGTTTTATATCAATGTTTGTTAAAACATTAATATGGTCGAAAAGAGACAACCTTTTAAATTTATCAAAAAGGGACTTGAACTTCTCTGTACCTCTTTTTAAGCATACACGACAAATCGAAGTATGTCCTTTTTCGTCATTTACGTCTTTTATTATTTTTATTTCAATTTCCATTTTAACATAACAAGCGACAAAGTAAAATTACAAATTGTTTACTTCTTGGACATTTCTAAAGTTCATGCTTGTCAAAATTGACATTAAATAACGTCAAACTGACAGCATAAAATACTTTTTAATAAATAAACGACAAAAATTATATTGTTTATCTGCCACACCAGAGCAGAAACTATTTTTAATTTCTAGGAACCAATATATTTTTTAAATAAGTATGCTTTGCCAAGTACTATATTATTTAAAACTGTAAAATTATTTAATAACTTTACAGTTACAAAAAGTTTAAATAAAATAAATGAAATGTTGATAATTTTATGCCTGACTGAAAAGATATTGTCGAACCGAAACTAGGAATATGTTTTGTAGCATTTCAATTGTTTTAATTAAGTAGATTATGTCCGTGTAGGAAATTGAACAAGAATCGCGCTAAGAACTTTTCAAATAATAATAACATTTCTGTTTGGACGTTTTAAGAACTTTGACTAAAAGCGATCTCCACAGGCACGGGCGTCGCCATCCAATGATCTTGTCTAGGTAGGAGGAGCACCTGCTCCTCCTACCTAGGTAGATTAGTAAGGTTCTCAGATAGTTAAAACCTTTGTAATGTGGCGATGACCACATCTATAAGGGGTTTAGTTTTTTGTTTTGTTGTTTACACGGTAATAAGTGTTAGTTATTGAAGATTTTTGTTGAGGGCAGGGTAATATAGTACCAAAACTTGTTTTGGCTTTGAAGTAAAACACAAATGCTTTAAATAAATAAATACTTTATATTCATGTTTTATAATAGATATCACTTTCACGTTATTTTTTATGGTTTTACACTTATGTTGCAGATCTATGCTTATCAATAACTTATGTTTAAAGAACTTATTTACTTAAGGAAAAACAATACCTAAAAATATAAAACATTAAGATTCTAAGAAGACTAGTAAAATCTTTATTAACAGAGTGTGATTTTAGTGTCGCTTTTAAAAATAAAAAAGTTATTTTTTATAAGTATAATGGAATCAATTTTATGAATCAAAACATCTAAAAACACAAGGGACAAGTAACTCTGAAATCACACCCTTTTATATTGAACAATGAATTTTTAAAGTCTGAGAAGCATTTATTTTAGTATTTAATATTTCAGAAATGATTGATTTTCAAAAATACACTTCATTCTCCATTCTTTTAGTCACATAGTCGCATTTATTTCCAATTTCGTTTATTTTTAAACAAAGCATGGAATATCAAGATTATTTTTTTACAATATATTGAACTAAGCAAATAATTTGAAACTTAACCTAATTGGGACCTTTATAGTAAGATCTTAAATACAAGATTAGGTTTCGTTTACCTGCTTATTTTTTTTTAATATGACAACTCTCGAATTTTTGAGCCCAATAAAGAAATAATTCTCTACAACTATGAAACACATGTTCCTACGCACGCAATATATCAAAATGATTTTGATTGTCATATTTTTATTGTAGTGTTTTTTAGTTCTAGTATTTTCCATTTTGTTCAAAGTCTAGTTGTGGTAACATTTACAGAAATAAATTTATGTATTAAAAGAGAAATTAAATCAGTACTTATTATAAACTAAGGCACAATTCTCAGACGTAAAGTAATTCAACACACCTTGGTCCCGGAAATATTCGATGAGATACATTCTAAATATTTTTTATCTGTTAATATTGTACTTATAATCTATGGCCCCGTACACGCACGTTGTGGTTAAAGTGAACCATTTTAATGTTATTTAACATAACATTTATTTCTGAAGTTATAACGCTTTGGTTTACAGCTGTTTATGGTTCACTTTTGGAGGTTATACGAAGTTCCTTTACAGGGGCATTGATATTATTTTATAAATCTTGGCACTAATAGATTACATAAAGATCAGAGTATTGTATTTTTGGGACATCACGCGTTATTCACATATATAATATATTCAAGACCGGTAAGGGCGTATGTTAGCCGCCCTGGGCGCTGGACAGGGGTGCCACAAGTCTGCAATTTAGTCTTATTTAAGCCTATTTACGTCCCCCCAAAGTGCTATAAAGGGTGGAGTCGTAGATATTTCGCCCAGCGCGCTATTAGTGTTAAAACCGGTCCTGTTATAAGCAACAATACAGTTTAAAAAAGATAAATGAGCTAACGAAAATTAATTTTAGCTTAAGAATAAATTACTTTAAACTTAAGAGAAATGTTTTTTTATTATTTATTACGTAAGAATTTCTTAACTTGCAAGACAATACAATACCATCATTATGAATGAATAGTTTTACATACATTTTTTTAACCTCACCCAGTACATACACATAAAAACACTACTTTCTTATGTTTATCGGTTTTTTAGGTTTAGAGTCAATGTACAATAGTCAAAACAAAAACGATACTACAACATACTGTATAGTCTATTACACTATCGATGCATTCATTGTCAATTGAAACAACTGTTATTTCGTTTTTTTTTTTTAATTGTACCTGTAGTCGAAGGGTCATGTGTCATTTTACACTTCAGTGTAGATAATAATTACCAATGTTCATAAAATACAGTTTAGTAAAGGTTAAATCATTACGATTTATTTAAACATAGCTAAAACAATTTGTATGTATGTGTATTAATAGTATGGTTGAAGCATTATTGAGTTCTGAGTAATCTTTAATAACCTCAATTTTCCTACGTAACAAAAAAGAAATGAAATGTATGAACGCTTATACAACGTGTTCCTTTTCAGAAGAATCTCGTGTCCCACAACGTGCGATATTAAAAAAAACGTCTAACTACAAATATGAGTGTATGGAGTTCAATC